CCCCCGTTTTTGATCCCATTCCCCACTCCACCCCCACACAATGTCTCTCTGGTATATGGTGGTTGTTCATTATTCTTGTTATTTTCTCTCCTGGTCCATTATACTCCTGCTATGAGTGAAACCACCCGGTATAAAAAATACTTACATTTTTATGCATAACTTTTCGTACAAAAACTACCTCTGCTGACATTCCCCTGGGCTGGGCAACCAGCATCTGTGCAGCTTGTATTAGTGTCTTTGCAGGCTTTCCCGGTGAGCTCTTATCCACACAGAGCCGCTCTACATACTAAAGCAGGATGACATTTGTTTTAACATGTAAATTGACATTTAAGTCATTTTCCTACTCAGACCCTCCAGGGGGTTCCTGAAGTCCTAGGAGAAACATTCAGCTCCTGACCCTCCCCAGCAAGGTCCTGCCCTCATCTTACATCTTATCTTTCCCTCCCTTCTCTCAGTTCTAGCCACAGCCAACCATTGTTTTCCACTTGTTTTCTGCTGATGCCCCCATTTAGCTCTTTTTATGCAAATGGAGGGTTTCTGCCATTTAGTATTTACAGAGGTCATCTTTAATATCATCCTTACTCTATCCCAACCCCTTGTTTCCATGTAATGAGATGATTTGTCATTTGTTTATTTTTTGGCTTTTTAAAAAAGATTTGTTTATTTATGCATGCAGAACTGGGGTACAGGCCAGAGATGCAGGGGCCGTGAGAGGATTCATGAGACACAGAGTGGGGAGCAGAACAGGCCACTGATGAAGTACACTGCTGAAGGGAGCAGTGGGCAAGACAGGAGAGGTCTGCCACGCCATGTGTGTTACTGAACTCCGGTCTCAGTTTCCCTCAGCCAATAAAAGGAAACAGAGTTTGAGGAAAAGGAAAGTGGTTTTATTTGTCGACAAATGAGGAGGGCAGCAGACTCATGTCCAAAAGTGTTACAGGGTAGCCCAGAGTGGACTGGGCCACCTGTCTGTGGGGTCTCACCGGCGTGCTCACAACTCAGTTACACTGCAGTTACACACAAAAGGGTTTAATGGGTTTATTTACAAAAGGGGAAAGGAACAGGAAACAACCCAGGGAAAGAGAGCAGGATACAAAGTAAGTGGAATACTTTACGGCTAGGCTGACTAAACACACCAAGTCACGCAGTCCAGACAGCTGTTTCCCAAGCGAGAGAGCCAGATGCAATTGTGCCCTATTTATCCCCCAAATGTCCCAGAATTCCTGCTAGCTCCACCCTTGGGTCCTCGCAGTTCTCTCCCTGGTACTACTGGGAGTTGTAGTTTCCAATCACTGGAGTAGCGTGTAGGGTCCAGAAAGCTGGAGTAGGGGGTAGAGTCCATAAGACTCTGCAGAGTTCCTTTAGGACACCCTTCCCCTTAACAAAAGGACACCGTCCTGCTCTTTGCCAAGTTACGGGGCTATTTATACAATGTTAAACAAAGACAAAGGGGAGGTGGGTGAGAGTCTGCAAAGGGAAGGGAGTAAAAGTTAGTGCTGGGATGGAGACCAGTGGATACCAGCCTTTATTTACACAACAAGAAAAAAAGAAAAGGGCAATCAGCAAAAGTAATGGGGAGGGGTCAGGGGTCAGCACAAGGAGGAAGAGGAGTGAAGGCCTGAGCTTTCTCACTATTTGCTTTGGTTTGGGATTCTTTTCCTTGAGCCTAAACCTGTCAAGAGAAGAGAAACTGCAAGGAAAGGAGAGAATAAAATTCTGTCATAAATTTGTCAAAGGAGGCAAATCCACAAATGCTTATCTGCGAGCCATTTACTGTATCATGTGGGTCACCTCCAGTGCCAGGGACAGAACTAGCACTGAATTGGATGCAGCTGGCTTGCAGTGCTGCATCCTAACCCGTTGCACCACCAGGGAGGGCCAACTTTTGGCTTCTTTTAGGTCTGTCTCTCTCTATGATATGCCTCTTGGAAGGGCAAGAAGCTATGGCCTTTTCATCTTTTATCTATTTATTATTGCCTTGCACCACTGCAGGGACATAGTAGGTTCTGTACAGATCTTTGTTCTGAATGAAGGCCTGAACTGTCTTGAGTGACTGAATGAATAATTGACCTGCTAAAGGAGTGTGCGTGGGGCAGTCAAATCAAGGTGTGAACAGCACCTGCCATTCGGCTGGACTCTCTCAGCAAAACTCTGAGAGATCAGAAGTCACACCTGGGTGACTTCTAAACCCATTCTCCGAAGCAGGACCAGCCCTCATGGATTCAGGAGAAGGGCCAGATCCATAGCTGTCTAAATACTGGGTGTGCCTCCTTCTTCCTGCCCGTGTTTTCATTCCCACGCACATACCAAAGATACGAGAGAGCCGTGAAGAACACACTTTTAACTCTTCCAAAAGAAACAACTAGCCTGAGAACATCGAAGCAGCCTGTGTGGCTTGGGGAGGATTACAAAACTCTGCTCTCTGATAACAAAGAACTATCTTGGTGTGGCTCATGATCTGAATAAAAATCAAATGACTTAGGATCTGTCCAAAATGAAGGATGTTTTAATATTTTGTGTGTAAAAACACTGGTATTTTGCTTCTTTTTTATTAAACAGATTTTATTATTTTTCAGAATCTTGTCAGCATAATCATTTTATGGGTGGATGAAATATTCAGCCCTACTGCTCGGGGAGTTCTTTCACAGCAATTACCTTGTGGCACTTTCGCTGTAATTAGGTTTCGTGGAGGCTTTTTCCTAGGTCTGTGTAATAAATGAAATATGACCAGAATTTAAATTTGTCAATTACAACCAAGCATAGTGCGTAAACATGCAACAGAGCCATGAATTCCAAACTACAGGCTGTTCCTGGGGGGCAGGCCTCTGAAAATTAAAATGGAAATAAAACTACTGACTGGCAAGCAAAAAGTGGCCCCAAAAGATAGAAAATCTCCCCTCACACTCATACATGATTCTACCCAACAGTGCTGGCTCTTGATTACAAATTCTTCAGTGTGAAATTGACAAAGCAAGGAGTTAGCTGAAGATTTGTGTCTCTGATCTCCTGTTCTGTGAGTTCCTGTTTCCTTGAAGTCAGATCAAAGGGATTTGGATGCAGCTGGCAGTCAGGCAGGAGCCCCAATGCATTCTGCAGCGTGGTACCCACCCCTGTGCAGTGCCAGGATAGATTTGGGGACCAGGTCACCAATTTCCTAGCAGCTGCTGTGCTCACTGACCCAACTTCAATAATTTCTCCTGTGGGGCCCCCTGCCGACCATCTCTTGCAGAGGGGGACACTTTCATAGTGCTCACTGCTGAGGATGCTGTTGGGTTAAAATGAACACAAAACAAACGCAAATATTTTGAAATTCATGGAGAAGTCATAGCAAGAAAAAATAAAAAACCTCACAAGTTTATAAACTAAGTACCATGCATGAATTCACTCAATACATCTTTTTTTCCATGTCAAACAACAAGTTTTAGGCATATTGTGGTGAGCCACGTATTTCATGGTCTAGAGGAGGAGACAGATGGAGTATACAAATTTTAAAAATTCATATTAAGTGATAATTTAATTGGACACTGTCCAGGAAGGAGACATGTTCAGCCTGCCGTGGCCGTTTTCAAGGTAAGTGTTCCTACAAGAGGCATTTGGTCTGAGAACAGAAGATAAGAGCTTTCCAGGCAGAAGGAATGGCGTGTTCAAGGGCCCTGTGTCAGGCACAGCTTTGCAGAGGGGAGGGCTTGAAAGAACATCTGCTAAGCCTGGA